CTCTTGCTCAGCTTTGCGAGCGTCCTCGGCCTCTTTGAGCTGCCTTCGGGCCTCAGCCAGTGCTTCAACGACTTTCTTCTTCTCCGAGTCATACTGCTCTATCCTCTGGACCAGCTCACCAAGGCCAAGGCTCGCCTGAAAGCAGACATGAATTACCGGAGGTTTAGCCACTACACATGTAAAGAATGAAGTTATCTACAAAAGAGAGGGAAGGAACCTTACCGTAACCGAGGCCATCAGAACCTTAGAGCAGAGGACATCGTCGGCCTGACGGGAAAGCACAGACTTATCGGTCGGAGGGGTGGCACCCCTCAAAAACTCCTTCGGGTTCAGGGTCCCGTGCATGATAGCAGTCCCCTTCGTGATGGAGAATTGGACCTTGTCCAGGGACCATGTCAGATCAGTGGCTTGACCCGAAAGCTTGGGAGGAGAAGATTCGTCTACGACCACAACGGGGGCTTCCTTCGACTCCGGGGCCCCCTTCTTCTTCTTCTTCTTCTTCTTCTTCCCCTCCGGTTGTGCCGGGTCCTTCCCAAGCCTTTTCCTCTTCGGCTCCAGACTGGGGGAGCCCCTGACGGCGGCCTCCGGGACGGGCCCCACCTCCTTGGCCTCTTCGGCCGCTTCCGCCTCGGGAAAGATCTCATCGACTGCCCTCTGCTGTGCGGGGGCCTCCTTCTTCTGCTCCTCCCTGGTAAGTTGCCTCTTCAGCTTAACAAGGTTCCGAGCGTCCATGTCTGGTCCTGAAACACAAGAAGGCACACAAGGGTTAGTTCACTACTACAACAAAGCAAAAAAAGGGGGGGAAGAAATTTTTCTAAGCATGAGAATTGAAGCCCTCGGCATTACAACAACCTTCGGCACTCTCATATACGCGATCAATCATGGGGTAGCCTTCCTCCTTCTCCCCCATCAGCCGGTACCGACGGAAGCCGAGCTTGTACAACTCACTGGAGAGCGTTGCGCCTTTGATGGACACATGCTTATCGGAACCCTCCGGCTTCTTGGACAACACCCGCCCATTTTTTTCGAGGGCATACCCTTCTGCCTTCAGGTGCCGCCGAAACCTATCACCAAGCGGGGCGGAGAAGGGGTTCTCGGCCAACCGGATATAACAGAACTTGTCTTTCCACCCCTTGTGAGACGAAGGCGCCTCATCAAAAATCCTGAACTTCGGGAGCTGCTGCAAATTACCATAGCCCCCGGCATTCGAATGCCCCCCCCCCCGACATAAGTTGAACGACAGGAAGAATTGCTCCAGAGTAGGGGGGACCCTTCGGCTGAGGCACAGTGACAGGAACCCTGCCAGATATGAGTGACTGTTCGGGGTCAACTGGCAGGGGGCTAGCTTGACGAAGCGTAGATATTCCAACACGAAGGGATGAAGGGGAAATCTGAGACCCAGCTCCACCGAAAGCAGATGTACGGCAAAACAGCCGTCGGGGGCACGAAGGAGCACATCATCCGGCTTTGGCTCTACCACTTGCGCCGAAGGCCCTACCAAAAATTGTACCACCATCATTTCCCCTCGGGTAGCTTTATTCTTGACCTCCAAGGCGGCCGTATTCAGGAAAGAATAGCCCTCGGGCAGTCCCACTGGCTGGCCAGCGTCGACGGCAGCTTGCTTCTTCTTCGGAGCCGTCCTCGCCTTCTTTCTCTTCTGCCCTGGGGCCACACTGAGGGGTACAGCGTCTATAGGCCGGGAGCTCCCTGCTTCAGTATCACACCGAGGGGGAGGGATAGCTACAGTCACCTTCAGGCCCTCCTTCTGGGCCTCGTCCTCGGCCACTTGACAGGCGATAGCAAGCTCCTCATCCGCGTTCACCTGCTCGAAGTCTTCGGCCTCGAGCTCAAGCCGAAGGTCACCCTGTATCGCCTCGGCTACGGCCCTATCATCGATGACCGAGAGCTGCTCGCTCGAGCATTCCACGTCAGACGGCACTTCAACGTTCACTGAAGCCTCCCCGGAGATGTCTTGGGAATCACTAGCTGACGACATTATTTCTAAAAGGCGAGGGGTCGGAAAACTCGTACAAAGGGGGGTTCCTGAAGGGTCCTAAAGACTAACCCTAAGGCCAAAAGCTAAATACTCAAATGGAGCTAAGGGCGGAAGGAGAATTGACCTCTGAAAGTTGCTGTGATCGAGGGTGATTTTCTCTCTCTAGAAAATTTGGCAGAGCTTCGCTAGCGATATCGGACGCACAAGGAGAATGGTCTGGCCATGGGGTATTTATAGACTCCAGAGTCCGGGCTTGGGCCCAAAAACTGGGCCTCCGGCCAAGCGTCATCATTACACACCGTCGTTTCACCCAACCGGTGACGCCCGCCCACGAGCATCCAACGGCTACACTCCACGTGTACCCCCCCCAACGGCTATAAACCTGACGTTACATATTCCAACGGCTATATTTCCAACGGCTATATTCTGGAAGCCCCCGGGGTTTCTACTTCACTCCACTTCATCAAGGAAAGCCTTCGGGATCACTCCTTCAGAAACCCAAGGCTTCATATCAGGGCACCCCCCGGGGATTCCCCCTCAGCACTGTAAGAACCGGGTAGCCCCCGGGGAGTTGCCTCATTGACAGATAGCCTACGGCACACAGGTAATGGGAGCCCCCGGGTATCCCCATCGCCGACTAACCAGCAAGCAGGGACCCCCCCCCCCCCCCCCCCCCCCGCGGCAATTCAATCACTGCCCTCATCCACCATGCCCTCGATCCCCAGATTGAGGGGCTCCCCTTCGGCACCCCCAGGACATCAACAGCAAGCCTTCGGCTAATCAACACAGGAGCCCTCAGAAGAGAGAGCCTTCGGCATTGCCGTTATTCTCCATCTTTGACCAAGGTTTCACATTTTCGATTCATCGTTGGGGGAATTCGGTGCACTCTTTTTCCCTCATTAGGATTTTTTCCCACAGGGTTTTTCCTAATGAGGTTTTTAACGAGGCATCCCCCCAAAATGAAACGAAAAGCGTCAACCTTCGGCCCGCAACAGCAACACAACTACTCTACTCCTTTTCACCACTTTACAAGTGCCTCAAGGAGTGGGGGACTGGAGGACCCCCTCGGGAAAATCATTAAATTACAAAATTAGTGAAATTCCAACAAACGACAGAGCAAGCCCTCAAGTCCCGACATGTGGGTAACTGAGGGACTGCCTTCGGCAGGAACATAAAAGCAACAACTCCTCACCAACTTCAGAGATTACGACAGGACAACATCAAAGGGCAAGCACAAATTACTCCTTTTCCCTCAAATACCTTTCGGCGAAAGGAGTGAGGGACTCCTGATGGAGTATATGGCCCGGGAACCCCCGGCCCACAGACTCCTACTACTCCAGTAAAGGCCCAACAGGCCCAGAAGGCCCAACGGGCCCAAATCACAGCGCCCAGAGTACCAAGCAGCCCGCACTACGCGCCAGGGGTGCCTTCGGCCCCCTGGCCGAAGGCTCTAAACTCTCACAGAACGGGTTTCTCAAGCAAACTAAGAAACTGGGAGAAAACGGCAAAAATAGTAGCCCTCGGCACCAGGAGCCCTCGGCACCAGGGGGCCATCGGTTTGAGGAGCCCTCGGCTGCTGCTCTATAGCCGAAGGCACCTCTCCCGACATGATATCCACCTCACATGCGTACAGATCGCCGTACCCTGTACAGACGTCCCATCCAACAGCCGCATTAAATGCGGCCACATGCGGCTGCCAACGCCAACCAGTTGAGGTGACCTCTCGGCCAATGGGCGCTTGACACGTGTCCCTGTCTGGCATTTATTGCTACTATAAATAGCCCCCTCCATTTCCCCATTTGTAACCACGACATTCATACTGAATATACTCTCTCACTTACTTACTTGTGCTCTGACTTCTCTCTAAGTTATTCCCTGCAATAACCTTCGGATATATACCCCCCGGGTAGACTATCCATCAATATTTATTATGGTTGCATATTTACTTTGGTTAATGGCCTTAATGGGGCGTTGCATATTTAATTATTTATTACCATTAACCATCACCATTAATTCCTTCCGTTCCGTTCTAAAAGTTGTATCTTTTTTCGTATGTTCCGTTCTAAAGATTGCATCTTTTTCGTATCTTCCTTTCCATTCTAAAGATTGCATCTTTTTTTTCGTATCTCCCGTTCCGTTCTAAAGATTGCATCTTTTTTCGTATCTTTGTGGGTTTTTTCGTATCTTTGTGGGTTTTTTCGTATCTTTGAAGCGGTCTAAGTTTAACGGAATCAGATACAAGCAATTTATCAATCTGTTGATGAATCAGCTGGCAGTTGCTTTCGAGCCAGGGTCTCACCGCCGGTATCGTGGTTGCCTCATCTTACCTGAGAAGGAAACAGCTCTTGAACAAATAAAAAAGACTTTGTTTACTCTATCTTTCAGTGTGGGAGATCATAAAAAGGTCAATTTATCACTAAGGGCTGATACGCTCTACCTAATAGGCTTCCATAATGGTCAGAGGTGGTTCGAATTTCAAGGTGAAAATTTCATAGCAGACTCGGAGAAACTGCCTTTTGGGTGCAACTACAACGACCTTCCCTCTAGATTACAATTGAACGTGGGGAAAGCATCTCTCGAGTCGGCTGTGGGTTCTCTCTCGGGATCCATGGTCAGTGCTGATATTTGTAGTCAGACTCTACTGAAATTAATTTTCATGATTTGTGAAGCATGGAGGTTCAAGACAATTTCAGATTTCATAGCTGAAAATTTCATGTCGCAAGCTCAAATATCATTTGAAATGGCTTTCATGGTTAAAGATTGGGGAAGGGCCTCCTCAGCTATTTTTCAAAGTGTTAACAATCCCGGATCCCCTGAAGAAATTTGTCATACAACTGTTCTAAAGACACTGAGTTTAGCAATTGAGAGCATTGCCTTGATGAAGAACCCGGTTGTTCGTCCTTGACATTGTATAGCTTGAAATGTAATCCCAAAAAGTGATAAGGAAATGTTCCTTACATTTGGACATTCTGAAGAATAAGTAAGAAACTAAGAACATCCATATTGGCATCAAAATTGCTAGATGTTATTGTACTAGTTTTACCATCTGGTGAATAGTAATTTACAACTAAAAGTCATTTATTTCTTCTATTTAATCATACATTTATTACCTTAATAATATTCCTTTGAAGCCACCTGCCAGCACCTCCATGCAGGGGCGGACCGTAGTAGATATATATGAAAAATAATTTTTGCTCTTCCAAAAAGTATTTTGAACCCCCAAAAATATTTTCGCCCCCCAAATGACTTTCTTGGATCCGCCCCTGCCTCCGTGGTAGCCGCCCCACCACCTCCACCGTCATCCCAGCACCTCCACCGTCATCGGCATCGCTGCCACCGCCGCCGCCGGCAGTCACTATCTCAGTGACTTTCGACCACAGTGACTGCCCCACCGACATAGTGACTCTGCCTCCACAGTGATTCAACCGCCACAGTGACTATGCCGCCTGCCACCACAGTGACTTCGCCGCCACCGTGACACCGGCCAAAAAGTGACACCGGCCAAAAGTGACACGCCTTTTCCGACCACAGTTACACACCATCTCCGGTGTTGCAGCCATCCCTCCCCCTGCTCCTCACATCCAGCTCAGTCCCGTCCCCAGCCACCCTGCCCTAGGGCCGCCGCCAACCATCAATGTCGAACGCCCCCACCACCGACCAGTCGACCACCACCCCACCCCCAACTTGACTCTCCATCCCCCAGCCAACTCCTCAGCCACCTCCTCATCCCTAGCCCCCACCCACCTCCCCAACAACCTTCTGCCCCAACACAGCCACCCCTGTGCTACACCAGTCAGCCCCAACCCCACCAGTCTACCCAGCCCCAGCCCCTTACCTACCAGCCCCGCCCACAGCCTACCAGCCCCACCCTAGCCCCTTCCATGAAACACTAGACCTGTCCCATCCGCCAACAGCAACCGTCCCCCTCCTGACCAGCCCTCAGCAACCCGCCCCTTGCCCCACCGGTCTGTAGCCCCACAGCATTCCGCCACAGACCTCGTCGGAACCCCGTGCACTGTGCTTGTCGAAAGCCAACACCAGCCAAGAGCTCGAGACTTGACGGAAAACCCTTTCCCCGCCTCTCACCTTATTCTCAGGCCCAACTGCTGTAGCCACCGAAGTCGCCGCCCATATCTGCTCATGTGGTCCCAAATCGACGAGGCGAAGTGGAGATCTGGAATCTTCAGCGGTCCAGAAGTCTGGAGATCTGGAGCTTGTGCGGTTGTGTGGAAGATGAAAACGGAAGGTGCAGCGAATCGACTGAAGCGGCGGCTCTCTCCTCTGCTCCAATTGCGCATATCTCCAAAGGCGAGGAAGACGGTGCAGCGCTCCTGGACGAGAATGAAGAGCCGTGTTTCGCGTAGGGATGAGCGCGAATGGGAAGCCGGAGCCATATTTTTAGAATAATTAAAAAGAGTTGTACTTTTATCTTTTAGAAGTACAAGAGTAATATCTATGCCATTTTTTCATACAAAAATCACAAATGGATACTTGAAACTTCTCATAATATTATACTAGTATTTTACCTGTGCATTGCACAGGATAACTAAATAAAACAATTATCAATTAAGTTGTCCGAAGCTTTAATTGTTACCAGAGCTATGTATGCCACTTCCAAACATTTTATTAAATATTAATGACATTAATGTTGTTTTATTGACATGATAGCTAAAGGCAACATGTGAATTTCAAAATACACAAGATAAAATAATATGGAGTAATTATGTAAAGTGTCTTATTTCTCATAAATTTCTCCAATTCATGTTAAAAATAATAATAATTTCCTCGTATAATTCTAGACTACCACAAAAGGAAATAATGTGAAAGTAATAGTAGGATGCGCCCGGGTATGGAATCCGCACCCTCAACTTAAGTCTCCGCTCGTCTCTTTACCACCGTACAATGTGCAATCAAAACTGTTCCCGGAGATGGAAACAATGTCGGAGACACTTCATTCGGATCAGTAAACTAAATGGTTTGGCACTGCACCATATCATTCCAGGAAAGTCCCGTATTGACTCGTATGGTGGTTATTATCCACATACAATGAATTTTAGTGAGGACTACCCGAGCAAACCACCGAAGTGTAAATTTCCACAGGGTTTCTTCCACTCTAATGTCTATCCTTATGGGACAGTTTACGCTCAATCCTTAATGAAGATTGTGGTTGGAGACCAGCCATTACAGTCAAACAGAATCTCATTGGTATCTAGGATTTGCTAGATCTGCCAAATCTTGCTGATCCAGCTCAAACTGAAGGCTATCACCTCTCTATTCCGGACCTCAGGAGTACGAAAGGAGGGTACATGAGTACATCAGCAGGCCAAGCAATACCTAGCTATTCTCTAAACATATTCAGGTTTAAGTGCTTCCTCTTGGCCCCTTTAGTTGTGCATAAATGTTTAGAGACAATTCAATTCTTCCGTCATATTATGTTTGATGATGATGGCCTTTGCTATTTTCTGAACCTCTTGGATTATAGCTACTTTAAGCTGTATAAATTCTGGTGTTATTCTGTGTTAAAAAAAATACTCCGTAAAAAATAAAAAGGATGCACCCGGGGTACTCCATATCAGCAACTCTTCCGGTGTGTAGTAAATAAGAGGCGTAAGAGTTATGAACATATACTCCGTATACGATATTTGAGTTCCTAAAATAAAGATAAAATAGTTCTCCATAGATTCATCACACAAATTAACAACATAAATTAAAAAAGGGGATGCAGAATAGGTGAGACTCTAAGCAAGCAAATCAAATGTAATATTGCCATTGAAAGAATAAACCATGAAAATATTGACTTTTGATAAACAAATAATTAAATCACGAGTTTATATACAATCTAAATTCATTTACATAGGTCATGCGTGCTTCACTTGCATTATCTAGATTATATGAACTTGAAGTTTATTGGCCCTCAAAGTAACACCCATAAATCAACAGGGTATTATACGTTGAGTAACAGGACCTTCTAGGATGGTGTCCAGAGCTAATAATATGACCTTTCAAAATAGTCTGCAAAATAGGGAGTTGACAAATAAATGAAATTAAGCTTGCAAACTGCAGCAGAATTGTTTGCATGTCTTAAAGTATGAGTCCACCAATAGAAGGCTAAGAAGTCAAAGGCCGAAAAGAGGTCCAAAGGACCAGTAAAATTTTATAAACACAAGCATTATTTAAGTGTAGGAACATAGGACAAGGTCATGTAGTCCCATAACAACCATTGGTATCCTAGCCTCATAGGGAAGGCATAATTACATAATTGATCTCTTTCTTTGGGTATATTACTTCAATGTTTCTAGTAAAAAAATATTAGAACTCCACCTCTGCCTGAGATGTTTAAAAGCCCATTTTAGACCACTATAGAAAAGTCAATCACATAAGCTCCATATGATAATAAGATGTACACAAGCTATATGTTGTACAAAGAAGATCTTTTAAAATTATACACACTCTCCTATGCAAATTTGTGCTAAAGATTGAGGTAATACAGCGGTTCAGAATTAGTAGGTTACATGTTTTTTCATGTAATGAACTCTGATATATTAAATGACAAAGTAGTTCTAATCCACATTGAATTTTACATTTTATGAAATAAATTTGACCAAAGAGTACAAAAATACACAACATAATAGGGAATTGCTAAGAGATGTACCACCTCCTCTATCATTAGGAAAGAATGTCCTATATGTAATGTAGAGCATTAGGATAGGAGTTATTTGAATTATAGGGAAAAATAAAAGGTAATTTAGAGAATGCACTCATGTTCTCTTGGTTTCCATGTTCTATTGTCATAGCCCAGCAAGTAAGAAAACAACTATAGAATAATATTACATAGTTCATAAAAGGAAAAAAGAACTCAACGAATACTTGTAATTTTATTCTCTTATAGTAATATTTGAAGAATTATATCCTTATCAACAAAATTTTGTTTTGTATATATAAGTGCAGCCCTTAAATTAGTGGTTGGAAGTAAATTAAAACTGCACTATTTTAACCCCTTAAATTACAATTTGGATCACAGTTAGAAGAAAATGTGAAAAACTAATGCAAATTTCAGCAACACTAAATGGTTGAAATGAAACTTTTGGCTTAGCGGATCAGTCTTTAGGTATATTTTAGTGATTCGATATGATAGTTTTATTGAATGAGAGCCTAAATAATCAATTTAAAAGCATTCGCTAAAAGCCTAAAACTTTAGTGAAAAGCAATATGGAAACAAAGAAAAACCTTTAAATTTTCCTTAACCGCTTGCCCACCTTCTGAAAACATGATATATGAAAATAAGTTCACAATAGGTACTCTCGGCACTCTCGATATTCCGCATATGCCATGTTTGATAAAAAGCATAGGTGATCATTCTTTGTTTTTTTAAATAGCATTAACCCAAGTTTTTCTTTGTTTGCCATATCTTTCTTTGATATGTAATACCCAAAGAACTCCAAATTCACTTTTAATGCCTTCAGAAAGTATATATGCAATGATAAGTAAAAACAATGACATGTACAAATGTGTTTGTGTAAAGATTTTAAGAGTCATTCCAACCAAATCTACTTTAAATTGAAAGTTGAACTCATGGGATGCAGGCCTCCATATATTTCACCATTTACCTTGACCTGAAGTGATGTTCAAGTTTATTCTTAAATTTGAAAGTTTATTCTTAAATTAGATTAATGTATCACTTTGGAGTAATACATCAAAAGTCAACTGGTCAGCTATTGTTTCAAATAAATTTAGTAATTTTGAAAACTTGTTGAGTTGCTAACCAAATCACATGTAGCATACACTAAACCCTAAAACATGCACTCTTGTAAATTGATAAATTTCAATGAAGAAATGAATGTTTTCCCCCTTCAGTTTTGGATTTATTGAATAAATTGATAAATTTAGGGAAAGTAGTAATTACCAGATCACTTGAGAGTTGTTTCAGCTTTATTGAACGTACGGCCTTGCCTCTTGTTTTTCGTTTTTTGGGCATAACCCTGATCACCTGCGGAGAAGACTTACAGAATTGAATATGAAAAGCAGCGATTGTATTTTAGATGCATGTTTATGTGAAACGAAGAAAGACTCAACCAGAAGGCGCCGGTGAGAAGGATCGGATGAAGGCTGGTGATGCAGATGGAAGGCTAGATTGAAATTGTTGAAGCCGGAAACCTTTCACCTGGAGAGAGAGCCGCAGAGCCGCAGAGCCGCTAGGGGATGAGCGATTGAAAGGGAAATCTGAAGTGGGCGATAGATGAGCAGAAGATATCCAGATGCTTCCAATCTCATCGAAGAGTTTAGCGGGATAGGCGATGGTAGATTAGCAATGTGTGGACTTACGCAAATACCCCTAAAATTGGGCGGGATAGTCACTCAGTTCACTTAATAAATCAAAAGTCAACTGGTCAGCTATTGTTTCAAATAAATTTAGTAATTTTGAAAACTTGTTGAGTTGCTAACCAAATCACATGTAGCATACACTAAACCCTAAAACATGCACTCTTGTAAATTGATAAATTTCAATGAAGAAATGAATGTTTTCCCCCCTTCAGTTTTGGATTTATTGAATAAATTGATAAATTTAGGGAAAGTAGTAATTACCAGATCACTTGAGAGTTGTTTCAGTTTTATTGAACGTACTGCCTTGCCTCTTGTTTTTCGTTTTTTGGGCATAACCCTTATCACCTGCGGAGAAGACTTACAGAATTGAATAGGAAAAGCAGCGATTGTATTTTAGATGCATGTTTATGTGAAACGAAGAAAGACTCAATCAGAAGGCGCCGGTGAGAAGGATCGGATAAAGGCTGGTGATGCAGATGGAAGGCTAGATTGAAATTGTTGAAGCCGGAAACCTTTCACCTGGAGAGAGAGCCGCAGAGCCGCAGAGCCGCTAGGGGATGAGCGATTGAAAGGGAAATCTGAAGTGGGCGATAGATGAGCAGAAGATATCCAGATGCTTCCAATCTCATCGAAGATTTTAGCGGGATAGGCGATGGTAGATTAGCAATGTGTGGACTTACGCAAATACCCCTAAAATTGGGCGGGATAGTCACTTAGTTCACTTAATAAATACATAGATACTATTATAATAGTCATGTGGATTATTTTTCTATCGGGTTATCTGGTTATGTATACCTGGAGGTTGGGGTGACTCTTGTTTGTTTTTTAAGTTTGGTATGTGTCAAGTACATTATAGGATAAATGACGAGAATACATCGTCGATCATGATTGGTTAACAGTTGTCCAAGTGAGGATTAACGAATCATATTATTCCTGAGTGAGTGATATGTTGCGAGTCAGATCACAGGACGTATGATCGAGTAACATTTTCTGATCTTTTTTTTATCTCTTGTTTTTCCTGTTGCTGATTGCTCGGATTTTATAATTTTATATGAGCAATTTTCTC